GTTGTCATTACTATGTACCACAAACAGCTGTGTCCAGTTTCAATCTCATCCTCAGATACTCAGATGTGAGTCATATATCCTGCAAAATTAGCTTCTTTCCATAAAGCAGACATGGGAAGAAAATACAATAAGAATTGCAGAGTCTACCTCCATTTTTCAACTTCCATTGCATATAAAAGCAATCTGGGTTACTTTACAAAGATAACCTGGTCCCTCTCAGTTCCTTTATGTGATGCCTCATTACAACAGAAATATTGAAACTGCTTTGGTAACTTATTCCAAATAGAAGCCAAAGTACCTGGAAGCATGCACATTCTATGAATTTTTCTTAACATGTCTTCTTTTCATTTTTTTTTCCCCAGCTATTCTCCACAACTTTCCTGTAGTTCCATCAATACCTATTTTCTTTTTTTCTGGTAATACTTATATATCAATTTGTATGAGACTTCTTCAGAAGCAACTCTTCCCTGATGACAAAACAGTTAAGTCCATTTAAAACCTAAAATTTTGAGAAATTTCATTTTTATGAACTCCTGTTTTTATGAAAGTGTTGTTTTTCTTCTATTCCTGAATATTGTTGCCTAACCAAAGTATACATCAAAAAATCAAACTATTAAGAATGACAAATATGTTAACACCTGAGCAGACAGCTCAAAATACAAGGGAAGTGATTCAAAATAGTAGCAAAGAAGCACTGAATATCCAAGGAGGAAAGGAAAACAACACAAAAGTGCAAGTTCATAGTGAGGGGTAACTAAGCATTGTAATGCAGGTGCATCTGTTCCAAGAAGTAAATCACAAACATTTCCATTTTGACCCATTACTTAGAGACCATCCTTTCAATGTTAATTTATCATGAAACAAACATCTTAAAAACCCATTTTGCTGAATATTCTGGCACAGATTCAGAAGTAGGGGTGGAAGGTCAGTGCTTCATTAACTGAACCAACTCAATTAAAATTGTAGTTTAATTAAAAAGTCAAGATGATAATGAAAAAAACAGGTCATCTGGAAAACATCACTGTAAGTCTCAAACAACCTGTGTTTAATTGGCAGTAAATTTCTTGATCTGGCCTATTTGAGGAGCAGCAATCCTCTGCAAAACACTTTAATACAACAGACAGAACTCCATTAAATTTTTTCTACAAGAATACAACTTCAGGGTACATCAAAAGGCTGCCAAGAGGAGGAAAGGTATATGCCTCTCATTCTCCTGAAAATCAAGACTTCAGTTTAGATATTTTAATTTGTCTTCCACAGGAGGCAAGTGTAGAACACTAAAGGGAAAGCTCCCACATAAAGGGCCTTGACATGTTTGTGGATTTATAACTCAGACTAAAACAAAACAGAAACAAATCAAACAAACCATACACACAACAAAACAATGAAAAAAATCCCACAAAACGCTTTTTGAACATTCAAGCATCACTGTAGAAGGGGGGGTTCTATTAAACATGCACCATATTAAGCTAATGGTTTTCAAACATCTTTCCAGGTTAGCTATTAAAAAAGTAACAAGATGACACTAAAGTTCTGGTATACCTTTTATTTCCCTAAAAAGAAGAGAAACCCCAGCAAGCAAATGCTGCAGTTTTACTTAAAACACTAAATTTTACAAAATGGAAATCCTTTACCTGAAAAGAGTAAGTTTGCATTCTCAAGTAACAGTTTTTGAAACAAAATCCAAATGCATAAATAACTAATAAACAGTTTATAAACTGAGAGCAGAGGAGGTATGGCTAAGCTAGTAAAATTGAAATCTACTTCAGAAAGTAACATTCATGGAAAAATGTAATTTTCCCATCAGACATAACTTCACATTTTCAGAGGAAAATTTTCATGTAAGCCATATTTAAAACCATCAAATGAAGAAGCAATCTTAAAATGGGTTGTTTTTGTTGTTGTTAAAATTAAACAGTTAATAGTAAGCAGACAAAATTGTTTATCTCCATTACACACTAGTCTTCCCTTTTGGTTGGTTGACTGGTGGTTTTTGTGGGGTTTTTTGTTTGGTTTACCTATTTTACATTTTGTTTTTCCTACTGTCAACTAAATGTACACCCAGAGATCACAGTTCATAGGATGAATGCTGGCTTACACAGTGAACTACTTTACCTTTTAAAAAACTAGAGTATTCCTCCTCAATGCATGCTGAAGCATTGAACTGAGGAGAGAAAGTTAACTCTCAGCTGCAGGACCAAAGGTCACTTCAGGCAAAGCTGAACAGCAGCTCCTACATGCAAACCTCTTCTCCATGGCTTCTGTGTCAGTGTGCATCGACTTGACAGCCCTATCCTGTGTGGTCATGGATGGCTTTCCATCTGTACTGCCTAGAGTGACCTTAAATACCTTAAATAAACTATGATTTCCAAGTACAAGCAAGTTTTCCAGGATACTAATAAACTTTCTAATTAGCAATCAAAGTTCAGAGCTTTCTTTAGAGTTAATTTCTGGATTTCAATTCCCTTTACCTCATATAGCCACAGAATTACCTTTCTTCCTACCCCCACGAATTTGTTTCAACTATGTATTTTAGAATTTTGGCCATTTTTTCCATAGTGTATCATAATCTGTTTGGCACCTTAGTACCAGAGAGTGAATCTCAACTGCTATAAACAGCTTCCACTGTATCACAAACAATTCTGAGGTCAGATCAAACCACTAGAGGGGCTGGCCATTCTCTCGTATGAAAACAACTGATGCAGACTTCAAATTAGGGCTCTCATAGGATATACATCTTGATCCCTTTCTGTGATAATCTTTTGAGATACATATAATTCAGAAAACAAAGCTCTTTGGGGGAAACAATGTTAAGTACGCACTAGGTGGGTCAACAGACTTAATTGTATGTTTGTTTTTTTTCAAGTATAAATCATTATCACACATAGCAAAAGAAAGCCTCCAAGAGTAGCAAACCTGTTTTACGTAGGCTGTTCTGTACAACCAAGCATGATAGTCCCTATTATGTCACAACTGCTGGTGATTAAAATTACAATGCTGACTAGGAAAAAGAGATAAATTCACTCTCTCTAAAAGTTTTGTGATGATGCACACTGAATAATAAAAAACTGAGAAAAAATTCTAATTAATATACAAAAAATTTCAGTAATACCCTATTAATCTCAATTTCTGGATCCTTACAGTGTGAATTTTAGCACTCCCTTAACTATCTTTTTAATTATTTTTTTTACATTCCAAGAGCTGATTGTTTCCCTCCAATCAAAATACCAATATATTAAGTTTCAGATCATATTATGCTACACCCACTTTAAGCAACTGAGGAAGTGCTGAAAGATAAAAAAAGGTAGTAAGATATGTTTGTACTTTGAACTTCTCCATGTCCTTTTCCTTATCACTCTTAGGTTAACTCTTGATCTGCCAAGTCACAATGACTATTAAGGTTGATTCAAACACACAATTTGTGGAGAAATTCCTGCAGTTTACAGTAAGGCTTAAATCTAATGCTTATATGTTAGTCCCAGTGCTGCCAAAAGCAGCAGTTCCACCTTCATCTATCCCCAACTGTTTGTTATTGTTTACTTGATACTTATATCAGCAACACCATCAGTTCAGTTACATCAATCAGATAAGGCAACTGATTTACACTAAATCAACTGTTTTTTTCCTCCCAGAAATGGAAGCTACCTGTGAAAGACTGGCTAAAATTCTCCCTCACCACTTAACATCACTAACACAGCTGCTGCTGCTAATAACAAATAAAATGACAAATTTTGCTCTATTTGATAACTGAATGCATGCTATTGCACATGTCCTATGTCATTATGAAGAATATATCCAACCAGCAAGACTACAATAGAAAAGGCAAAAAAAAATTTTTGCATCACTTTACTTCAGTATTCAAGCATTGCTACATCATGAATTTCAAGTACATTGATCTCAGGAAAAGTCTCTTGGAAAAGGACAAAGACATGAAGAAAATAAGGTTGATTTTAGTTAGAAAATTTTAGATCGAAAACTTCATGGTGCATGGTACAACCCACCAAATAGGTACACACAGGCACCCGAAGGCATCTATCTGAATGTTTGTGAAAACTTACTGCTGAGAATTCCTGCATACACAGTTAAATATACTTATTTCCCAATATAAACATCTGCAGTATCAATACCTATATTACAATAATTTATACATCCTATTATTACCTGCATACTCAGATAAACTGAGATGTAAGTAAAGAGTAAGGGATCTAAGTAAAAGAGTAAGAAATAATTATCAGGTTGCTATATTCTCACTAGTGTTGTGGACAAGATATTTAAAAAATACATTAAATATTAAATTAATAATTTTAGCCATCTTTTGATATGGACCCATGGAGAGTACAAGGATGCAAAATCAACAACACTGCACCCTCAAATTGCTATGCAGCAATACAGAGCATTAAGCATCAATGTGCTGCAAGTTATTAACATGCTAATGTGCTTTGCTAGTTCAGTGTGGAAACATGAAGTATGAACAGATGTGCCATACAAAACCCTATATTTGAGATTAAAGTTAAGGGCTCATTATTCCTTAAGTCACTAAATATAAATCCACACACAAACACTATCCCTCCCCTCTCTGACTGTGTTTGCATAAAGTTTGGATACAATTAAATTCTTGAATAAAGAATAAAATTAAAGAGCAATTATAAACTGTTGTCAAAACAAACCATGATTGATATTATCCTAACCGAAAGGTTCTTCTTTTTTAATAACGCTTCCCTTCTGGTTTGTGGTCATTGCTCACTATTCATAGTGAGCTTGGTGAACTTACTAGATTTAAAGCTATGAAAATTATCCACATTAAGATGCCACATCTTTTTTAAAATTACAGACTAGTACTGCCTGTGTTATAATTAGAGTGATACATACTTCATCACAGTATGTATGCAAGTTGTGTTTGGAGTAGTTTCCTAAATGACAGTGCCTTTATACTATAGATGTAGCACCTTTAAATAATCAATTTAATTCAAAGCAGTCCTGGGAAAGATTCAGTCACTTACCCGTATCCAGCTGTTGGCTTTCAATTCCACAGGGTTCTGTGGTTCACTGCTGTATAGACAACATAAGCACCACATGAGAGTCTTCTGGCTTTCATCTGCCGGGGGGGGGGAAGCAAAAGCAAATAAGGATACATTTAGAGGGGAAAAAAAAAGAAAAATAAAAACACAGAATTACACACCACAATCCCTATCCATCCACCAAACTAAAGCCCTAAACATCAGTCTCAAGTCATAATGTTTCTATTCTACCAGATTCACACCACACATTTAATATTATTCATACGAGCTTTTGTGTAATCATTTCCCTCAATTGCAATTTAAAAGGTATCAAAGAGTTCAAAATCTATACAACATTTAAATGGTCTTAAGAAACATTCGTTAATGTAAGTAACACTTGAAGAAACTTTCAAATAAGTATATAATTAATATCATTTATAATAAAAAATAATCAACAGTAGTCAAATAGTTCTTACATTGTGTGCAAAGCTTGCACAACTAAAGAATGGCCACTTCTGAAAAATTTAAGTTTGTGAACTATGAAATAATTAATAAAAAGAATATAAAACAGTGAGTTTTCTGTAAGAATATATTAAGATCCTCCATGCTCCAGCAAAATGCCATTTCTGCAGACAGCAGAATAGCTACCTGCTGATGGAAAAAAAAAACTACTGGGATTTTATGTTCAGGATCATACCAGGTTTTACTTAATTCTAATCCAGTGTTGGAAATTACTTGCCTTCTCTAAAAATCTACCATACTGAGAAATACTGTCTCTGCTCAGATGCTCAGATATTACAGAGGAGCTAATCATTTGGAGTAAATAGTTGAAGAACCATTTAGCTCATTACTATTTCCACAACTTTGTTTTGAAAAAAAATAGGCTGCGCTTTTTTTTTTCCCCCCCTCAATGTCCTTTGGCAGATATCAAGAGTCTCTACACTACATTTCATCCCAGAATAAAATCACAATATTGTAATAAAAATGAAGAAAACTGGACATAGTATTGTAGCTGTGATGTAATATTCACTTAGTAAGTGATACTATTCTTGTTTAAAATAATGCAAATTAGTAACACCACGAGTTTCAGAAATTATATTAGAAGACTATTTGATTATCAAGCTCAACAAGTGATATCTTTTGTTTTTCTGTGCATTTGTTATCCAGGAAGTAATAAACAGTATTATTTAGAAGTGCTTTGTTGGCAAAGCCTGAATTAAAAATAAAAGCTCCATTAAGTAATGCCTCAATTTTCACTAGGTGATCAGAGAAGTGAATATTGATTTAAACCAGTATTCCTCAATAAATGTCCAACAAGCCTGTAGGCCATTACTGGCCTCCCACTGACTAACATCTCTGCACACAAATGGTTTCTCAAACATACACATTTAACTGACTGCAGTTTGGGGTATTCTGCCATTGTGTGTTTGGGGATATTTTTTTTTTAATATGGATTTTTACAAGGCTAATAATTTCCAAGGCTGTTTAAGAGTGGAGTTAAAGGAGACATCTTGCATACTCCTCAGCAGAAACTCAAACCTTATACTTTGATTGTAACAATATCCAACTAGCATTCAGACATCAGCACTAAGAGTCAACTCTATCTTCTAAAAAAGAACATTTCACCTAAACTCTGATATGAAAGTATATGGGAGGAAAAAACCCACAAATACCGGTTTATTTGTTTAAATTACTAAATGATAGCCATTTTCTTCTTGGAAAACTAATATTTTAAACTTTATTAATTACTTGTACTAAGATACTGTCTCTTCATAAAGTCTGGCTTTTGAGATAATTTTCATTTATATGAATTACATTTTTGAAATAATTAAATTATACAGAAAGACACAGGGGAAAAAAAAAGAAAAATCACATCCAAATCACCTATCCCTAAAAAATATACATAGTTTAAGTTCCGCCTTTTGACTCACCCTGCTTATAATGTATATCTACTATATATAATTTTGTAATTTTATTTGTTATAGTTTTCTTTTGACCAAAATATAAAGGAAAGACTACACATGATGACTTGATACTTAATATAAAGTAACCTGCATATATTTTTGCCTGTCATAAATATAGATCAGTATGATGAAAGCTGAAACAATGAAAACAAAGCTTAGATAAATGACATACAGGTGCATTTTGCCAGCATACTGAGTTTTCAGAGATTTTGCTAGATACATTCAATGTTCAATCTAAATGAAACCAACTTTTATTTGTGTATTAGCTACATCAACAGTTTCCTAAAAATAAGGGAGGCTAAAATAGGCTTCACAATTTTGCCAGTCAAAATTATGTTTTGGCTACAGCCAAAACCAAAGTATCCTCCCAATAGATGTGTAAAAAGCAGGAATCGGGGCCATACAGTCCTCTTGCTGAAGTACCCAAAGACACTCTGAGGAACACTCTCAGGTTCATATTCCTTTTAAAAATGCTTTGGAACAGGGGATGAAAGATGGGAAGATTAAGAATAAAGAGGGACAGATCTTAAAATAATTATGGCAGCTAGAAAAGATAATCATATGAAAAGACCAAACTGGCATAGAAAACTTGCTGGTGGGTTTTTTCCTCCCATTTTCTAGCAACTGTGATCCCCATGGGAAACATGCCATGATGATATGCACTGAAAACCATCATCAGGATACAAAGGCATTTGATCTTATTATGGCATGAAAGAATGTTTGCTGACCAAATAAATACCAAATTAATACATCCAGAGGACACAATTAGTAACTCAAAGGTGGAAATGACATCTCAAAAAAGGTCATAAACTATCTACTGTACTTCTTAAGTAGATTAATGTTGTAACTCCAAGTAACAGAATTAAAATTTTCTGTATGAAATTTAAGATAGCTTGGAAGCTGTTTTGAAAAAAAAAATAATTAAAAACCTCATAACAACAAATAAAAACCAAACAAACCAAAGCCCTAACTTTTATGATTAATCAGATTGCCCCTCTTCCCTGTCAGGCACACATAAAAAAAATATATTTATTTTTTTTTAAAAGGCAATGTTTTCCTCATAACACAGTGTGGTCTCAATCATCCCATGATACAGTTAATTTATAAATACCCTGTCACAAATGGGGCCAAATACAAGGAACTAATAAGAAAACCCTAATCTTACCTAATCTTACAGCAAGAAATTTCTTTTTAGAGCTTCTTGCAAACTTTTATTGAAATATATCTGAAAATGCTATTAGCTAGAACAGAACTTTCTGTGGAAATGAATACATACATAAGCATGCATGCTTACACACATACACTGACATACAGAGCTACCAAGATATTTCCCAGCATTTATAGTATTAGTTTGGGATTGAAGTCATTGGGCTCAAAACTCAAACCAGGAGGGTCCTACTGAGAAGATAATCCTCCAAGCCCACAGAAAAATCATTGGAATTTCTTTACCAAGACTGAATTCCTCATGTATCCCTTGTGGTTTAGGACCACAAGTACAGCCATGAGATTTTCTTAAGTTGTGCTTCCTTCACATAAGTGTTCTAAATAAGGCTAAGTTGGTCACCTCCTGCTCTGGAGTGTTTATGAGGAGATTATTTTCCCTTGGAGACCATGCTTCCTGCACTGAGTGATCAGCCATGTCAACTTCCAGCACCAGCTGACATTCATCTAACATGACAGGTATTGTGGTCTGGCCATGATGCAAAAGTATAATGTTTTTCCCCCCTCCATTTATTAGTATGAAAAACTAAATTTAACAAAATTAGTTCCTTCTACTGTGCAGGTGGCCTGATCTCAGACACATGCCTGAATGAAGAGTTTATGCAAACAAGAAATTACATCAAATCAACTTGAGAGTCAGCATCTGCTACAGCCAGCGCTATCTTAACCAGTATCTTAAGAAGCAGTGCCAAAAAAAATTAAAATCTGCTGAATCTAAAATGCCAGCAGTCCAAAGAGCTCTCTGATTGCTCTAAAAAGAGGAATTGGTGGGAATGTATAAGTAGACATTTTCATGTCTACTGATGTCGGAAAACCTCCTTGACTCATCTGTAAGCATGAAAGTCAAGAATTCCATTTTGTGCAAATGAAGTTCTTTGAATTGGCTTGCTTGCAACTTGGGAGAAAAAAAAAACACCTCTTTAGTAAAACTCCATACTTTTGCAGTCTTTGGAGGTAATGATCAACATGAAGAAAAAGTACTTTCCTTGTTTAGAAAACGCTGAGGGATAACAAAGAAGAGGAAAGAAGTAAAGGAAACCAAGAACGTATTGGTGGGATTATTGTAAAAAGGAGTCAAAACCAGAAACAGATGGCTTCCAACTTTGATGAAAAATATAGACGAAGTTACTTTCTATACCACAAAATATTCTCAGCTCAGAAAAAGTGATGGTCTAAAGATCTGTATATTCCAAACAAAAACTCTGAAGCAAAGCATGTGTGTAATTGTAAATATCAACAGGTACCAATATTCTCAAAAACTGTAACTATGACTAAAAAAGGAACCACTGTAAAAATAAGGCTATAAAGTATGAAAAGTCCTTTCTCAAAAGGAGCCACAAAAGCATGCCTTTGTTGCTCTGTGAAGAAGATAAAGCCAAACCAAAAGAAATATATGATCACTTGAGCATAACTAATCAGAGTCACATGCTGTGCTTGCCTTATTAAGGCCCTCCAGGCCAACACAAAAATTGTTCACTCCTTTATTTCCCCAACAAGAAGCATCAAGCAAGAGACAAAAAGAAACCTTTTTTGTTGTAGTAGTAGTAGAAGACTGGCAAAAGGGTATTTTAAGGGGCTCACAGAGAAACTCAGAATTAGTTTTCTGCTTAAAAGTAGATCCCAAGTCATGTTGATCATGATCAACATATCAACATCTCAGTTCCTGAAAAACATCCTGGAACTGCTGGTGAGGTAACACAATTACTGTATCCTCCATCCCAAAAGTTCTCCTGTCCTCGGTTTTGTTGCTCTTTATTCTCACCAACCGATACACACACTACCAGCTAGAGGCTTTTGGAATTTTCTACATTTTTTTGCTATGTCACCACTTCACAGTTTTGCTTTTGATTCTACGTTTATTTTCACTTGTTTGTTAAGGTGGGGAAAACACACATTCAGAATAAACTCAACAAAAACAACTTAGCACAGCTTTACACCAAGCAAAAAACAAACCAAGTATCAGAAAAATTCATTCCTCTATATAACCACATAGAATAGAATATTCTGATGTATGACTGGAAGAAACATGTTGAAAGTAATCAGAAACACTAGATTTTGTACATTTTGAGAACCTAACAAAAATGTAATTAATACAACACAAAAATAAGAGAAACAGAAATCATAATGCATATGAGCACTCAGTAGGTTTAAAACTTACTGCTCCTAAGTCAAGATTTTGTAACTAATCCATTAAATTAGCTCCAAAAATAGATTTCTCAATGCCACATACTTTATATGACTTGGCTAACCTTTTCATCTTAAAATTTTCCTTAAGTATAAAAGAATGTTGTGTTTTTATGGAAAAAAAATCAAAGTACATAACAAGTTGTATTTTCCTAATTCCTATAGAATAAAGTTTATTGGGCTGCTGCAGAAATACCATTACATGTTCTTACCATATCCTACAACAAAAGGATTCCAGCAAAGCCGTCCTAGAAGCTGGCCAATTAAAGGGAATTGTTGAATTGCTACAATTGAATCCTGTTAAAACATAAAAACAAACAAACAAACAAAAAATTAATATACTGCACGTCAAAAGTAGTTTAGGATAACTATTAATGTTACAGGCTGTTGTGAATTATAATCCCAATGGTTTTGCTCTGAAATGCTCTGGAAGCAAAACACCTGCAGGTATGTAATAAAAACAGAACTTCCTGAAATTTGCTATAATGCCATAATTCAAAAAAGTTAATGTAAGTAATGTCCTCATGTAATAATTATGGTAGAAAATGTGTTAATTTGCCTCACATCTAGTAATCAGAAAAATGTATTCCTAACCAAGATTTCATAATAATAAAAGTGCAATCAAACTATATTGCTTTACTATACTGTCTCATTAAGTTTCTGAGGAAATTAATACCTACTACGGCATAAAACTAAGTATCTTTCTGTCACTTTCACTTGCTTTCTTTAGATTAAATTACATCATGACTAGTCAGTAACAAATGAAGGCTTTTAAAAATTGTGCTGTGCTGAGATAACACACAAGTAGCAGCAACAATAACCATCTCCTGCTGCTGCAATAAATTCCTTACATTTGCCTCACATTTGGGGCTAGCCCTAGACTTTCTGGGGCCATATTCACAAGGTCCATTTCAGGCCAAGCCTCAGATTACCTGAAGTAGCAAGTAATAGTGTTGGGTTTTTTTCCCCTCTCTTAAAAAAAGACACATATATAAGTATGGGAAGAAACACTACTACCTAGAAATCTTTTATCTAACAGTCAAATTCAGTTCAGAAGAAAATTACAACTCTGCAATTTTCATTCAATAAGAATATTTAAAAATAAGTACTTCCATAAGAATTCAGACTCATCATGCAATATTTCTAAAGCTACTTATTCTGAATACATATACTGAAAATGCCACACTCAGAAAAACATTTACACAGCTAAACATATAAAAAACTGACTTCTTAAAAAAGCACTCTAGTGAGTGCAGACAATAATGAAATTACTAAACAGAACAGCAATCAACATATGCCAAGAAGCTGACCATGCTGCTAGAATTCACTATGTGTGCCACAACACTGGGGTTAACATGTCAACAGACTCTCTAGGATTTAAAGGATCAGTTACAGTTTTGCATGTTAAGGCCCTTAAATAATCCAATTTATGACCTGACAACCAGAATCAAATTCTTGTTTATTTTAAAGACTTTTTTAAGAGGCTAGGCCATTGGCTGGGAAATCTCACATAACAACAACCAATCAAGATGAAAAAGCTCCTTTCACAATAAATCAGGGAAACAGGAAGCACACTCCTGTTTGCATTACCTGTGACTGTTCCCCCAATTTGCCTCTCTGATCCAGCAATACATAAGGTCAATAACACAAACCTCTTTGCTACTGTTAGCTTCTGGTTTTGTAAAACATGATGCAGATTGTTTCTGATGGTGTCTTCAAAACAGGTCACTCTTCCTTTTAAAATCACTTACCGTATGTTTTAAAGTTTCACAAATCTGATGTAGAAACTCCTGGAGCTGGGGCAAGTGCAGGCACACATCCTTCTGGGATTCCAGTGTGGTGGCTTGACCCCATTTAATAGCTTTATCCAACCAATACTCAAAGTTCAGTTTGGGCACCGTAGTGTCCTGAGCCATTCCACAACCCTGAAAAAAATAAGTCCTCATGAGACAGCACTAAACACTGGCTTCAAATCACAAACAAAAATGGGAAGAAGGATTTCCGCTAACTTTTTGTGCGTTCACAAGTGAAGGAGATGTGGGGAGGTGTCTTTGTATTTACATCTCATAAGGGTGCCAATTTCCTTTGTAGTAGTGAGATAGTAAAATAAAAACCCTATTGTGACAAAGCAGCAAAGCACAGTAATCAGTAAATTACTGTAGAATGTACCACCCAGCTGTGTCTCAGGCTTTTATTATCTGAATTTGTCGTCACCAATATTTCACTCAAAAAAATTAGACTAATGTGAGAGTGCATTTATTTAGAAAGCTTCACATGATAAAAACCTGAAAAATCCCATTTCTAAATAAACAAAAACATTAAGTTGCGCCAAGAGAGGTTTAGGTTAGGTATTAGGAACCATTTATTCATTGAAAGGATTGTCAAGTATTGGAATAGTTTGCCCAGGGCAGTGGTGGAGTCACCATCTCTGGAGGCATTTAAATGGCATGTGGACCTGGTGCTTGGGGACATGGCTCAGTGGTGAGTTCGTGGTGTTAGGTCTAAAGCTGGACTGGATGATCTTAGAGGTCTCTTCCAGCCAGAGACATTCTGTGACTCTGTGATTAACATACGGCTCAATCAAAACAAAAGGAGCTAGGATCTTTGTTTGTTACAAGTCCTACATTTGTAATTCATCATTAGTTTTAAATGCAAAAAGAATATTCTCCTTAAAGGAAACCAATACATTTTGTTATTGGAACTAATTATAACTAATAAACTTTATTATACAAAGGGGAGAGGAAAAATACAACCACATGCAGTCTTACATATAACTCAGTTCTGTATAAAAGTTATACCATATATAATCTATATCCAATGGTATACTTCACTGTAAAAACTGGGTCTTAAATGAGCATGACTGTCAAGCCAGAGTGTTAAAATCTAACCAAATTGCCCAAGTAAAAAAAAAAAAAAAAAAATCCCACCTTTTTCTCTGCTCAGCTATTATATTTTTTGTTGGCAGAAGGACAGAGGATAGCACAGCAGGAACTACACCAACCTTTAAAACTCTCTGAAAGAATCACTTGATAGGCTGAAAGCAAATGAGCTCTTGCAGCCATTCAATCATTGCTCCTTCTGTCAAGACTGTAAAGACAACTGTCAACATAAATGTGGTGGCAGTTTACAGGAATGAACTGTTGCCCACTTGGAGATAAATTCAAGACACTCATAGAAGCAACAGAAATTAGTGAGTATTTACCTTTGTAAACTACAGACATGGAGCTACAAATTAAAAAAAAATACATGTGAATCTGAGCAGCAGCCCTGCAAATCAAGTTTTTTATACAGCTAATCCTTACAATCACGTTTGGTATATATCATGCTAATCTGAGCCAGATAAAACTTTGCAGATCATTAATAAACTTGTTTAATTTCTATGAGCAATAGATAAACAAACACCCCATAATGAATCACAATTATTTGACTTTGAATCCTTTCCAATTAAAAAAAAAAAAAAAAGGCAAAGCTGTTGGCTTGCTAGAGTTCAATGCATATTTGCCCTAAACATGTTCAAAGTAATATAAAGCAAAGCCAATGCTTTTATGTTCTTTACTACACTTCCATTTATACCTGGATCTGTTGCTGTCAGCAGCACTTGTAATGGACTCCTGCAGTGCGAAGATCTTGCTGACCTCCTATGAGTACCAAAAACAGGCTCTAAGAATTCATCACCATAGTGACATAGGTTAAGCACCCCGCAGTAAAAACCATCAAACACTCTTACCATCACTGTGACACAATAAAGACTTTAAGAACAAATCAAAGCCAGAAACTGAATTTACATATTTAGTAAATTAATGAGCCTCTTTGATGTTCCCAGGTGAGCTTATTCCTCCCAAAAACCTGAAAATTAGTCCCCTAACAAAATGGGTCCTCAATCTACACAGACACTCGAACATTTTGGAGTCAGTGACATGAGTTGACTGTCTGCAAACAGAGGATTCAAGATAAGCAAATCAAGCAGGCTGATGACCTCTACCAGGTACCTGTAACTACTGTTCTGGGATGCAGAATGGCACAGTCATCACAGTGTGAGAAAGGACTTTTTCCAGAAGTGTGAAAACCCAGCTCCATCACAAGAAAGGTGTTTTATCTCTCTTCTCATGAACAGCTACATAAACAGGCTGGCTGCTTCAGAGAGAATCCTTATTTGATTGAGAGCCATTGCCTTACACAAAAACTCTCAAAAACTGAGATGCACATTCTTTTTATAAGAAACAAACAAACAAGCAAAAAAAACAACAACCAAAAGCACAAATAATAAAATCATACGGAAAAGGAAATCTTAATAGTATATCTATTCTACACACCTGCTGACTATATGCATGTGTGCATTTTTTACAGTTTCGGATAGATAATTCACTTAAGATACCAGTCCTGAGTATCTTGGATATGATCAAAGTACTGTCTGTCAACAGCACTGTTTGTCAACAAAATTGTGTTAGCCACAGGAATTAAGCTGTCTTTCCTACACCAAGGAAATCCAAAGAAATGAGGTGGTTTTGTATTCAGCGCTATTCAAAATCCTCACCTCAAATGTAGTATATTTTCCATAGTTGTCTTGTATGAAAGCATGATCATAGAATGGTTTGGGTTGGAAGGGACCCTTAAAGGTCACATAGTTCCAATCCCTCTGAATGGGCAGGGACACTGCCCATTAGACCAGGTTGCTCAAAGTCCTGTCCAGCCTGGTCTTGAACCCTCCCAGGGAGGGGGGAATCCCTGGGACAGTGAAGAATTTCATCCTAATATCTAATCTAAATCTACCCTCTTCCAGCTTAAAAGCATTCCCTGCTGTCCTATCTCTAAACACCCTGGTAAAAAGCCCCTCCACAGCTTTCCTGCAGGTCCCCCTCAGATACTGAAAGGCTGCTACATCTCCCTGGAGCCTAAGTAAATGACTTGTACCTAAAAAAAACAACTACACATTCTACAGTTCAGTGTACCCCGGACTTGCTCTTTTCACATAATTTTTTTATTAAAGAGTTCAGCTTCTGCAACAGAGTTAAGAAATTTTTGCTGCAACCTACTGCTCATTCATGGACAAGTTTATGGGCAAAAATGGGGGAGTCAATATTCCATCCCATTTCTAAAGTGGGTTAAGGGACAAATAAATGTATTTTTTGGTGCAATTACTCTTCTGAAACTGCTCAAAATACTATACCAGAAATAAGGACTGTGGTATACACACCGGGGAAAAAAAAAAAAAAAAAAAGGAAATAAACATAGAAGAGAGATACGAATAGCAAACTCTTTGTTTGCACTCTTTCTGAGGTACAGGGCAGGGTTGGCCACTTCTGTAAAGCTTTATACAAGATCTACTCTTGTTAATTCAATGGTAGAAGACTCTCTTACACCAGCTACTAGGAACTGAATGTAGATTTTCAAAAATCATCATCACAAAAATGTTGTAAATGCTAAAAATACTGCTTTTATCTGGATGGGGATACAGTAACTTTATGTTATTGTAAAAATTATGCTGACATCTACAGAAGAGTATGCCAAAGTGACATTTTCAAGACCTGCTGCATTGTTTGTATAGGTCTTGTTTAGCATTCAGTACATGCTTCAATGCATCCTTTAGCAATAGCACACTTAATTTAAGATGCACTAATACTTTGCTGCATCATGACGCTGCTGTTGCCACACTAACAGAAAAACAAAAAAGAACGATTATCCCAAGCACCTGTTGTATTTGCAATAGCATAATTTTTAAGGTTTACTTATGCATTTGCTTTCTTGAGAAGCCTCCAATGAAACAGTCATTTTCTTCATTGTCTATTTCAGCAATAGCAGCTAGCCCTTAAAAGAGCAATTTTATTAATATAGCTTACTCATATTTATCTCAGCATTACTGGAAAGCATAGAGTAAAATTAACAAATGTATAAATAACACAATTAAAAAGAAAAAAATACGAACAAACCTGAGAAACAGATTTCATATAAAAAACCGTTACAGGATATATAGTTTATTAACATGAAAAATATAAACCTATTAGTTATTAAATGTAATTTAAACATTCATATCCCAGTAAGATACAGGACATATTAAAAGACCTACAGAAATTCTAGGTAATAAAGACTTTATTAATAATTTGACTTGACATGCTGTCAAGTATATTCCTAAAGTCTCTCAGGTTCATTTCCACTCTCTTCAGTTATTTAGGACTCCCTTTATTTCAGCTTCCAAAAATTAAAAACTGCTTCCTATTTATGACAATTTATTCCACCACATGAGAAATTCAGAAGCTAGATTTGCTGCAAATCGCTTTAAATATCCTTTACCTCTAGAAAGAAGCAACAGAAATAGTCTTTAGTCCTCCTCTCTCTGAGTGCCCAGTCAAACCCTCCTGTGTTACTTTCAAGCTCAGGGAACCCTGGGGAGCTCAAGCATGAGGGTACTTGTTATATCTTTCAGAAGCTGAAGGCAGCATTGCCGACAAGGAATGGATTAGCTTTCTTCTGTCAAGTGAACTATCTGGATTACTGTCTGAAATGCAACACTTCAGTCAGTAACTTTTGTTACCAGATCTTGAGGAGAAGCCCTACAGTATAACAGGGCACTCCACTTATCAACAGTTACTGTGACATCCCTCAGAACACACACATACAAACGCTACCCTGTCAGAGCCTTCCACGTTAAGGCATACCCAGGGAACTATTTCCAAGGGTGGAAGAGACACCAACAATGCTTTCAGAAAACTTGTCACAGCTATCTCCTTGCCTCTACTCTGAAATATTTGTGCGTTCAACATGGAAGGTAGTAAAAGCACAGAGATTTTCTATTCAGTAGAACTGTAAAAATAAAATCTTTTTGAAGTAAAACCACAAATGAAAGCAAAGTAACTATTACAAATTCTGAAACTCAGGACTCAGCTATGAGAACATGCAATTCCTAAAATATTAAAACTCC